GACTCGTAGGATGAGTTAGGATCCAATTATTGATTGGATGATTATTTTGTGATTGATAGCACGAGGATTCTAGTCGGCCAATAGCCAAAGATTCTTTCGGTGAGATTCGATAGCATGAGGTGAGTTTTCTCACTATGTCCATAGGTTGAAGGCATTAATGTCGGCCCATTACATGTTATGTGGAATGCTAGTTGTCTTTGTGATACTTGCTTGGAAGACCCCGAGGGTAGCCCGTGGCATTGTATGATAGCCCATGAGGGTAGCCCATGATACTTGAATGCCAGAATGTGGGGGCAGTCCAAGGCATTTCAAGCACATAACATGGGGGTAGCCCATGACACTTGGATGTCAGACCATGGGGGTAGACCATGGCATTTTTGGGAAAAGAACATGAGGGTATCCCATGGAAAATTTATGTTTGATATGTGGTATTTTGGGGAACTCACTAAGCTTTGTGCGTACAAGTTTTCAATTTTAGTTTCAGGTACTTATGTTTTCAATGGGAAGAGCTTGGGATGATTGCAGAGCACACACCACTTGGTTTCGCATTTTCTTGAATTACTCTGATGTGATATGGTGATTGATAAATTTGTTTTATCTGAATTTTTTTGATGATGTTTTGGGATACTGGTTTTATTAATTTAAAAAATAAATTTTTTGGTCTTATTTAAGAGACGTTACATGTTGGTATCAGAATCTTTGTTTGAGGAATTCGAGCATACTCTCGAGTTTGACTGAACTCAAACTGAGGAGTTGGTAATGTTTCTTAAAAAAGAAAACAGGTTATAAAAGAATGTTTGTTAAAGCAAAGAAATTTAGAAAATGATTTTTGTAAAGACAAAGGGGGTGTGATAGGTTCAATCGGTTGATCTTAAGTAAGTGATAAAAATGATATGTTCAAATATTACTATTAAATAAAACCTACTCGTTCTATGTAGTATAACCTTTTTTTATATGTTAACATGATAAATCAAATATATTGATAAAAATGATATGTTAAAATATTATATGTATAACCTTTTTATTTACATGTTTTATGCTTTGGCATGCGATTTTTTTTTTTTTTTACTTTAAAATTTATATTCAATTAATACTTATTCACAATTGTCATATTTCAGTTAACAATAATAATTTACAAATATTTAATTTTTATCAACCACTAACAAATTGGGAAGTGGTTCGCAAAGCAAAGCGATCCATGGTGCGAAGCAAAAAACTACACATTGTACGTTAATAGATATTCATACCTAAATGTTTATACATAAACTTATAAATGTTAATAAATTGCTTACGTTCATTAATGTTCATAACTGAACATTCAAATTTATATATGTTTGTAGATATACATTGAAGAACATTCATAAAAAAATAATGTTCATATTACCGGAGATGTAGATAGCATACATGATTTGTTTCGGAGAAGCATGTGGTCGAAGCATGTAGTATCGTTGGAGCATTCCTGATGGTTATTTATTCCGATGTTAGAAATAGTTGTTATTATTGCCTATGGCGGTGGCAGATTCAGTATGGTCACACGGTGGCCTGTGTAACCCCTAACTTTTCTGGACACAGTGTAAAATTTTTCAAAAATTTTTAATTTTTTTCCTACTATCGTACAACCTGTGACTTTCCCTTGAAACATCTACTATGAGATCTTCTTTCCGCTCCTGGCGTGAGGTGATGGTTTTTCATCGAACGAGACAAGGGAGATAAGAGGTAACAGGTAAATCTAAAAAAGAGAGATGTTGGGGTGTGATCTTACTTTTTTTAATAACATAAACAAGAAATATGCAATAAAAATTCAAAAAGAAAATAAATAAAAAAATATAATAGTCTTTTTAGGTAGGAATGAGACTAAGTGCGGAACAAAAACATATAAACGGACCGCTTGGGTTAAGAAAAAAGTTACTAATTAAACGTACAAGTGCTATTTTTGTAATTTACATAATAATTTACATTATTCAAAAATGCTATTAAATCAACGTCCAAATATATAAACATATATATTTCAGGAACCTATCTGTAACTAATAAAATTAAACAATGTTTGAAAATATAAAAGAAACTATTAATTTATTCAAGAATTAAAACAAAAACATATTAATGACATTGAGTAGACATATGTAAGGAAACAAATGTATTTAAAGAGTTGATTAGTATTTTATGGTGCAATTAAAATCTCGTGTTCGACAACATAAATAGTTGATTAGTATTTTATGGGGATAGTGATTTGAAAGGGTAACGAATTTTCGATTTTTTTTTATATTTAGTCACTAAACTTTTTTTTCATTATCTATTTGCCATTAAAATATTGAAACTGTTTACATTTTATCCTTATGACCGGCTATTACCGGTCATAAGGATAAAATGTGAATAGTTTCAATAGTTTAATGGCAAATAGATGACGAAAAAAAGTTTAGTGACTAAATATGAACAAAATCGAAAGTTCGTTTTCCTCTAAAAAGCTCAATGATTAAATGTAAATAAACTTCCTCTTATATTATGTTTTAGCAAATTATTTATTTTTGTTAAATTATAGCAACATTTGTTGATGAAGAAACCTATGAAAAAAAAAACCATGAAAATATATTTAAAAAAAATAAAAAACTGAAACCGAAATAAAAAACCAATGGTTTGATATTTTCCAAAATAAAAAATCAAAATTTCCAATCTGATTTTGGTTTTACAAAAAAATAAACCATTCTCACTCATGTGAATTATGATCATTGGTTTGGCATGCGGAATTTGTGACATCCCATGAATACGTAGTTACAACATTGTCTAAACTCGTAATCCATAGTAAGTGGTTAGAGTATCATCGCATGAATACATAGTTACAACATCGTCTGAACTCGTAATTCACCACCTACAAGTTATGGGTCTGTTGGTGTTTCCACTGGTAGGGGTGTAAACGAGCCGAGTCGAGCCCGAGCCTGACCAAGCTCGAGCTCGGCTCGTTTAATTTTGAGGAACTCGAGCTCGAGCTCGAGCTCGGCTCGTGAACAATTTAGTGGGCTCGCGAGCCTAATCGAGCCCAAACAAGCCTTATATATATATATATATATATATATATATATATATATATATATATATATATATATATATATATGTGTGTGTGTGTGTGTGTGTGTGTGTGTGCGTGTGTGTGTGTGTCTATATATATATATATATATATATATATATATATATATATATATATATATATATATATATATATATATATAGGCTCGTTTAAGCTCGTTTAGTAAACGAGCCTCATATTTAGGCTCGAGCTTGGCTCGGGCTCATTTAATTCGATCTCGAGTCGAACTTTTAACGAGTCGATCCCGATTAGCTCACGAGCAGCTCGGCTCACTTACACCCCTATCCACTGGGTTGTCTACAATAGTTTGTAGTTGCCATTTATACTCTGGTGGATGACTACATCGCAACATTGCCGGTTAAGGTTATGGTATCTCCTTTCATCCTACATCAACTATTCATCATAATCTATTTAGCTAGTTATAATCACCTTTCTATCATCACATATCTCTCATCATTTTATTTCATCACACACCAACTATTTCATCTACCCATGTTTCATCCGCAACATATTTGTAGATATAAAATAAATATACCGTTTAAATCTTTTAAAACATGTATAAAATCGTTCATCCAGCATAGACAGCAAGTATTCAAATAATATGCACACATAGCACATAATTTATATAAAATACTTAATATCTATGTGTAAGATGAAAGTAACTATATATACCATAAAAATCCTATAAATGCTTCCTAACTTCAAACCCCAAGATTTACTCTACTAAAACTTCATATTCTGGACCTAGAAGGGTCCAGATTCCTAACTTCAAACCCCCAAGGTTTACTCTACTAAAGCTTCATATTTTCAGCTCTTTGGACCTAGAAGGGTCTAGATCTATAACACAAACCTGCAAGAGGGGTTTGAGGCATTCAAAACCCTAAAGATGAAGTGATTCAAGCCCTAACCCCAAAATGGAATCTATACAACAAGGAAGGAAAGGGGTTCATTTTTGTACCTCAAAATGAAGCTCATTGCTTGAATAACTCAGAACAATAACCTTTCTTGGTCCCTCTTGCTGGAACTCTTCTCCTTTCTTGCAAAATCACACCAAAAAGCTCAAGATAGCTCTTCCTCTCACTCTACACACTCAAGCTCGCTAGGGTTCTCACTTATGGGAAAGGTAATCGCAATTGAAGGCCATAAGTGCCTTTAAATATGGCTCAGGCCCAAAGATTTAGGGTTTCTCCCAGCAGTGCGGACTCGTCGAGTCGCCTCATCGACTCGTCGAGTCCATTCATTAATCTGAGTCATCAGTCGCGACCTTACTCGACGAGTTGAGGCGTCAACTCATCGAGTCTCTCTTCTTCACTCAAAAGAAAAATACTTAAATTATGATACTTGGAAATCCGGATGTTACATTTTGTTTTTTTATTCAATAAATTTCTTACAAATGTTGCTACAACTAAACAAAAATAAATAATTTGCTAAAACATAATACAATAAGAAGTTTATTCACATTTAGCCATTGAACTTTTTAAAGTGTAACGAACTTTCGATTTTGTTCATATTTAGTCACTAAACTTTTTTTCGTTATCTATTTGCTATTGAACTATTGAAACTGTTCACATTTTACCCTTATGACCGGTAACAGAGTTTATGGGTGCAATTAAAATCCCATATTTTACAATGGATGAAAAAAAATAGGAGGTTGGTATTGGTGGGACCTACTAGATTAAACTTATCATAATAATAGAAAACAATAAAAACAAACCTTAAAATAAAATTAAAATGGGTATGACAATCGTTTTTCAATTGTTAAGGACGATAGTTGTAAGAAAATGATATCACTAGGAACAGCCGAGCTAAAAAAAATAAACGACCAAATATGATGATTAGCAAAAACCATAGGACCATTCATGTAATATATTCTATTATAAATATACAACTGATCACACTTAGTTAGTGTACCCAAAAGAGTTTCTATATCCATAAAAAAAATACAAAAAGCTATTTGGCAGGATAGAAATGATGAGAAAGTTATTGGTGCTACTCTCGAACTCCAATGGTGGAAACCAGGATAACCATAAAATACCGTTTTCCAATGTGGTTGTCATAGGAACTAGGAACTACTTTTGGGGTAGAAAATGGCGAAATGTGGACATCCAAGTGGCATCCTGGTTCATTTTTGTTCATATACTTGCCATTTTTGCACCATTTACCTTCACATGGGATTCTTTTTTTATTGCATTTATTGGGTATTTGTTAACTGGAATTTTGGGCATTACTCTTTCCTATCATCGACTTCTATCCCACCATAGTCTCAAACTCCCCAAATGGCTTGAGTACACATTTGTTTATTTCGGAGTCCTAGCAGCTCAGGTTTGCTTTTACCTCCGTTGTTATACTAAACTAGATGAATCCTCGTGTATTGTCTAAGAAATTAAACTCTGAAATTAAAATACTAACTTTATATGTTATTTGGAATAAATTGAGGGTGTTTGGTTTAGTAGGATGATTTAAGTAGTAAGTAGAAATGAAGCTATAAATTGTTTTAATAGGTATCATTTTAACAATTCTGTGGTTAATTAAAAAAATAGCTTATTAGGCTAACTTTAAAACATAAGGAAACATATATATATATATATATATATATATATATATATATATATATATATATATATATATATATATATATATATATATATATATATATATTATATATATATATATATATATATATATAAAAGGAAACATATATATAATGTCAAATATTGAGAAACTAGAACTAAATAATTCAATTATAGACATCATAATGGTTAATATAATAGGATGTGATGTCAATTATTTATTCTTTAAACGATAATTATAATTTTAAAAGATGTAAAACAATATGAAACATTAAAGGAAAATAAAAATGATGAAAATTAAACCTTAAATAGTTATAACTTTTTCATCTTCAAACAACTACAGTTGATTAAATAAGCATATAAATTATATTTGATCATCAACCAAAGAAAACACATTTATAAAAACATAGGCTATCTATTTAGAAATAGCCAAAGAAAAACATATTTTTAGAAAGAAACACATTTATTTGGCAACTTTAAAATCACTACTACCATAGACATTTTTTCTTCAAAAATCGTCTTGTACTTGTTATTGTGATTCTTTTTGATGAAAACATGTATTTATTGACCCAAACAATATGTAGACACACAATTCAAAGAACAACTTATTTGGAATTATAATTATGCATCTATCAGCAATAACAAACAAAAAAACATAAACAAAAAAAAATATATCTTATCATCAACAAGTACCATCTCCAAGCCAATTATATTGTTTATAATTTTTTATAATTATGATTCACCATTTCCCAGGTCCTACATAATCGCAACTGGATAACACAATCATCTTTCGATGTATTAAACTCAGTTATCTTAGTCAATATCACCTCAAATCCTCAACACATAAACTTTTAGCAAAAAAGAAGTTTTTTGGGGTTCTTGTAGTTAAATTATTTATTTGTACATATTTAGTAAAAATGGGTTAATTTCATTGATTGCTTATCTAATTGCATGATTCTTTTTTTTAGAACCACAAATCAACTCTACTCCTAAACTACTATTAATTCCACCTATGTTTCTAATGAGACTTAAACCTTCAACCTCTAAGAAGAATGAGAACATCCGGTACCATTGGGCTAAAAGCTCTTTGGTGACATGACTCTTTTAACCTGAACTAAATATTACAAAAAACTTTAAATATGAAATGGTTTGATAACTTAAATGATTATCAAAACATTAAAAAAAAAAGTGATTGAATTTGTCTTATTCTCGCGAGGTTGATGAAATTTAACGAAAAGAAAATATCAAATCAAATTAAAAATATTTAAATTAAGATTTAAATACCATAGGTGAAAAAGGATTATAATATGACTAGTTAAAAAGAGAAATACATGTTTCTTAAAGTAAAAAACATCTCAATTAATGAATTACATACCATGAGTTATAAAAACCTTTGAGTTGTGGCACTTAAAAGTCAAATAAATGTTGCTTTTAGGTAATGATTTTAGTGGAACAATTATACAATAAACTATTATAAGAATGTCATAATATCAAAATATTGATTTTGTTAATTTGATTGGTTTGAAATTTAATTGGTTGTGTTTTTAATTTATTTTTATATATATAAACTTTATTTATACAGGAAATGATTTATAGGGATTTAATGTTATATTATTTTCCATTATGACAGATAGATATAAAACAATATATATATATATATATATATATATATATATATATATATATATATATATATATATATATATATATATATATATATATATATACCACTGTTTAAAACATATTTTATTTGAAAACATATATACAATAAATTACTATAAGTTGTATCATAATATAAAAATCAGTTATAATATTTCTTGATTTATGATTACATATATTATTCAAAGGGTATTTAAAAGATCATTCAAGTTTAAAATGCATGTGGTTTGCGTATTTTAACTTCTATAATAATAGATATATAGATGTAATTTTTCGTAATTTGATTAAATTATACTTTACATGCAGCGAGATCCGATAAGTTGGGTGAGTGCGCATAGATATCATCACCAATACGTTGATACGAATAAAGATACACACTCACCCATCAACGGTTTCTGGTTCAGTCATATGGGATGGCTACTTGATAGTGGATACATGGTTGAAAAGGTCTCATAATTATATCAATATATTGAAAATCAAAATTTTAATTATGATTGAACAAATATTGTTGTTATATACTCTTATGTACTGAGTGTTTAAATTGTCCTAAAATGATATTAAATTTATTATTTTGATGCAGTATGCAGATCGTAAAAATGCTGAAGATCTTAAAAAGCAAACGTTTTACATCATAATGCAAAAAACGTACATGTTGCATTTATATGGATGTGGGGCTATCTTATTTGCTTGTGGTGGATTTCCATACCTTGTCTGGGGCATGGTATGCTAATTTTTTTTTTTTTTTTCAATTTTATAAATTATGGCATATTATGACTAACATTTATATTTGATTTAAGAATGATATATATATATATATATATATATATATATATATATATATATATATATATATATATATATATATATATATATATATATATATATATATATATATATATATATATATATATATATATATAGGATGACGTTCAATAGAAAACTATAATTAACCAAGGAAACAAGAGACCAATCTTTTTATAAATTTTAGAACTTATTTTTTATCAAATAATTAAATAAATAAAATAAAAATACCGAAATTCATAACTTATTATCCTTTTTCCAATGATATCAAATTCAATTATTATTATTATTATTATTTTGTTTTTACATCAAATTCACAATGTGAATTTTTGAAAATTCACAACGTGAATCCGAAAATTATTTTTCATATTTACAATGTTAATATATAAATTTAGATATTTTTAGATTTTTTTTTCGATAAAGAATAAGCTCTAGAAATTGAAAAAAAAGATTTGGTTCCTTAAAAAACCAATAATTATGGTTCTCTATTGAGCTTATATATATATATATATATATATATATATATATATATATATATATATATATATATATATATATATATATATATATATTCATTTGAAACCATGTTAATTTTGTAAAACATAGAAATACAATTCTAACCACTAATCTTGCAGATAAAAAAAATTATAAAGTGCAAAACAAAAGGAAAAATCAAACAAAAATCTTTTTTTTTAAAATATTATTTTCATTATTTAGTTTATCCAAAAAAATTTAAAAAAAAAATAACGTTTTTTTCAAAATATAAGTGAAATATTTTAATAGAATATTTCACTTTAAATAATCAAATCGAATTTTTAAAATATTAGAATATTTTAATATATTTCTAAAATTGGAAGATATGCTAAAATATTCTAATATTCTACTTGAATTGTTAGATTTATTAAAATATTCTAATATTCTATTAGAATTTTTTAAAAATATTTATAGTATAATATTCTAGTAAAAAAAATAACATTCTAAAAATTTGATTTGAATAGTTACAATATACTCATTTCGTCTCAAAATTATTATCCATGTTTGACTTTTGAAGTCTTTCCATATCAACTTTAACCATAAATAACTTTATTTGATTATATAATTATTGATGAAACTTATAACAGTAAAGAGATATTTAAAAAATAATCTATTCATTTATCTTGCATAAAAAGTTATATAACAAAAAGTAATTATTTAAGGTCAAAGTTGAACAAAATAGATTTAAAAAGTCAAACATTAACAATAATTTTGGGATGGAGGGAGTAATAATTTATTAAAACATTTCACGTATATTTTGAAAAAAAAAATGGTAAATTTTTTTATTATTTTGTTTCTTGATAAAATAAATAACAAAAATAATATTAAAAAATTTTCGATAAATTTTCATTTATTTTGTACTTTAAAAATATTTTTTTTGATATCCTAAATAAATGACTAAGATTGTGTCTCTATATCTCACAAAATATGATTGTCTCAAACCAACTCGAATGGATACACAAAAATAGTATTTTGGCTTGAAATTGTGTTCCAATAGACTACTAAACTCAACACAAAAACGGTGGGATTGAATAGTAATCTTTATATTTGGTGTAACATTATTCATTACACCAAAACATCTTTTGAATTGTTTAATAAAATTTTGGTTAGTTTTATAAATTTATAACTTTAATAATTATTCTATTCAATATTATAATATGAAAATATGTTTTTAGTATAAATTTTTAGTGTGTGTTTGGAGTAGAAAAAAGTTTTGGTGTTAAAAAGACACAAATCTAGTGATATTTTTAGCAGAATGGTTGGAGATGCTCTCACATATTTCTCTCTCTATGTATATATATATATATATATATATATATATATATATATATATATATATATATATATATATATATATATATATATATATATATATGGGGCAATTAAACAATAAAAATAAAAATTGGGTCGTTAAAATGCTCGCTGTCACAAAGTAATTACTATAATATTGCTAAGTTTACTAAATTCATATAAAATGCTTCATTCTGAACATTGATATAATGATATTAGATGTTATTGAGTTGATGTCATTTGACTTTTCTCAACTAAAAGTCGAGATTTTAAATATCATATAAGAATATAATTTTATATAATTATAAATGAATAAAAGGAAATTCAATATATTAGCTAATATTTATATAAATAAATATTCTTAAGGTCAATGTTTATTCTAATACATTAAAGATTATAAAGAAAACTAACTATGAATATGTGATTGAAAATTTTCAAATAAAATTTTGTTACCAATTTTGGTAAAATAAGGAAAGATAATTGAACAATAATTAAAAAAATAATAAATAATCTTTATTATAATAAATGAATAGTTTTAATTTTTCTCTTGCCGATTGTCACTTTAATACAACTCATCATTAATATTATGTCATATGTCATGTAGATATATTGAGCAATTTATTCCAAAATTCATTATATATTTTTTAATTATATGTAAATTTGTTATAATAACTTTAAAAATTTGATATATATCTTAAGTAAGAATTTATTTAAAATGACTTATTTAAAATAATTAATTAATAGTTATAATTTTTTATTATAAAAGTTTAATTAATTTATAACCGTGGTTCTCATGGGTTATAAACTAGTGTTATATATAATACTAGTTAAAATCTATTTTTTTGTAACAATAATTGAATATATATATATATATATATATATATATATATATATATATATATATATATATATATATTAGTAATGAGTAATTTAAATAGGCAAAATGATTTAATAGGTAAGATATTTTTATTTTTGTATATATTTTGTTACTGAATTTTTTTTGTCAAAATTTTACCATATAAGGTTTTTTTTTTTTTTTTTTTTTTTTTTTTTTTTTTTTTTTGTATTATATTGTACATGTTTGATACTTATAGCCAGCTACTTCAAGTTAAGTCGAAAAAAATAACTTAATAGGATAATACAATTTTCAGTTTGTATAACATTAGTCCTTAATGTTTTTGAATACGTTCAATCATTATGACAAATTTCATTATGTTTTGTTATGAGTATCCTACGAAGGACAATACTAATGATGTATTGTCATATGTGGCTTATCCCTCACTCACGTATATCAGTAACATATTTTATTTATTTGTCAAATAGTGTTTGTGTCCTAGATTTCTCCAAGAAGATGATGTCTTCGACTTTGGTTTTATCTATGTCCATGGCAGACAATGAGATTCTTTTTTTTATTGTTTCTTCGTAAATTTACAAATCCATGAAAAAAAATCAACCTCATAGAAAGTTTAAATTTTCACAAAGAATGTCGTTGTCTACAAAAAAAGATACATGAAACCGAAGCCGAAAACATCTTTTGCTTTGAGAAAACTAGGACACTAATATTATTTGGTTGATTCGTGAATTGTGGTACTTATATAATTGAATGACGAGTCATATATGAAAGCACTTTATTAATGATTGTCTCACGTAGGATGTCATGAGAAAAACTAAAGAAACAGGTCATAAGGATCGAATGTGTAAGAAAACAATAAGGACAATGTGAACGAACAATAAATTAGATAATCTTGCTATGTCATTTTCTCAGCTTAATTTGTAACCAGTTATAAGGACCGAATATGTACAAAAAAAAAAAGGAGAATACTCAAATATGGACAAAAAAATTCAGTGATTAAATGTGTACGATGAAATGTATATTATCCTATTAAATCATTTTCATGTTTAAATATTGTTTATTTAACAAGTAGAAGGTCAGTTTGATTATATATATATATATATATATATATATATATATATATATACACACACACACACACACACACACACACATACACATATAATGCGGAGCCAGGGTCAAAGTAAATGGGTATCCCACACCGATAGTTTGGTTCCTCGGTTTTTTTGTTTTCAAAACTCGATTTTGGGTTTAAACTCAAACCTATTCGGATGTTTAACTTGTTGAGAATTGAGAAGCTTGTGCTGCTTATATAACAAAAGTATAGAAGTTATGTTTCATGTTATGGATGATGTAGGAAATTTTTTTGAATTATAAGAAACAAACTGAAGAGATATACGATAGAAACTGAAAAACAAAATAAAATCCACCCGTGTCGAGGTCGAGATTCAAAATAGGGGCATCCAAGTTAAAAGTACAGTACTTTACCACTTAGATAACTTGGTATTTGTGTTTAATTTTCACAACATCATAATATAATAGGTATAAAATCCCTATAATGCTATATAAAATCCTTTTAAATATTTGTGAAAATAAAAGAAAAGAAATGTTAGGAAGAATAATTGAGCTTGCAACCTTCAAAATAACACCCTATTGACATGATCACCTGAACCAACTAAAGCTTTTGTTGTTATTTTGCTAAACAAAACCTTCCTGAAGAACGTATACTACTGAAATTTTTTTGAGGAGCTTCCCGGGATACCCCGAGATGCAATGTAGATTCGTCCATGTGTGTTTGTTTGTGATTCTCTCTTTCTTTCTCTCTCTCTCTCTCTCTCTCTCTATGTGTGTGTGTGTGTGTGTATATATCTATACACACACACACACACACTTTTACAAAAGAATAGATGTAAACCCTTTTAAATAAGTTTGAGGTATTAGCATGTAATGAATATAAAACTTTGTATTTAATGATATTATTTATTATATTTAATCTATCCATCCAGGGTGTTAGAATAGTATGGTTGTACCATGCCACATTTATGTTGAATTCTATTTGTCATATTTGGGGACACCAAGCTTGGAACACTGGCGATCTCTCCAAGAACAATTGGTATGCTTCAAATATATATATATATATATATATATATATATATATATATATATATATATATATATATATATATATATATTCGTTAAGTAAAATAATAGTTTCTGATAACCTACTATTTATATATCTCATGAAGGTGGGTGGCATTGCTTGTTTTTGGAGAAGGATGGCATAATAATCATCATGCATTTGAATATTCAGCTCGACATGGATTAGAGTGGTGGCAAATTAATATTACATGGTACCTTATATGGTTTCTTGAAGCCATAGGGATAGCTACCAACGTCAAAGTACCGACTGATGTCCAGAAGCAGAAAAAATCAAATTCCATAACACACTCAAATGATTGATAAGTTTTTCCCTAAATAAATTTTATTAATAATAAAAGAGGTTTATAAATATGTATGTGTGTAAAATATGTAAAAGCTACATAAGGGAGGTCAATCAGAATGTCCTAACTCCCATAGTAAGGAAAATGATGTATATGTTATTATGTGTGAGTCTAAGATTTCTATGTTCACCTATTTACAACAAATGTAATTTATATAGAGACATATGAATATGTGTATTTGGATATTTTAGAGACATTATTCCCTAGTTTGAAAGGGTTTACTTTATGCTTCATTATGTTTAATTGCAATTAAAATTATATGTTGAAATGTCAATGCATCTTCTATTTTATAATTTTGACAAAAAAACTTATTTTGTTTGTGTGGTTTCTATAGGAACGAGTATGGATATTTAACAACACTAGAAAACTAATTAGTGTTATACCTTCCGATGTCAGGTATTTTAACATGTTGAAATTGCAAACTAACATACTTTCTTTTAAGTGGACAATGCAAAAATGGGAAAGGTAGTTTTTTATTGCATTAAATAACAACATAAGGATTTAAGTTTATATACTTGTAAGTTTGATGGTTCTATATGCACAAGAATGATCATAATTAAAATGCTATTGCCAATAACATATTGTGTGGAAGTAATACAGATTAAACACGAAACTAAAAGCACAAAATACACATTATTTATGTGGTTCGATTAAGATGACCTACGCCCACGGGCTGGAGGGAAGTATTCTTAGTTTACGAGTTCTAAAAAAAAGTACAATTCAATAGAGATTCACCTATTCACTAGAATTCAAGACAAAAACAAATGACTAGCAGGCATCCCTAATTATAGACTAAGGATAAGAGCTAGATCCCTAATGGGCCTAGCCCGTTAATACATAGGCCCATGAATGGTGTTAGTTAATCATGATATTTCATGTAGTAGCTTTTGGAACCTTCATCCTTGAGATACATCGTATGTGTGTAACATCCCAAAAATACTGAGTAAAATTTTCATTTTTAATTAGGTCAAAACCATTAGTTTTCATTCATTGATTGTATCAAAAACCATCATTCATTACAATATTCCAAAACATCAGACTACTAATACATCAAGTGCAGAAATCATGCGGGGAGGATGTTGTGTCATCACGTCGGGCCCTTCCCTTTTGAACTGGAAGTACCTGAAACCATAAATATACATTGTAAACACAAAGCTTAGTGAGCTTCTCAAATTACCACATACATCATACATATAATATAACAACATGTGGCTGTGTCAGGCCCATATGAATCCCTGGGTTCGGATTAACCCAAAATAATAACATATAGTTGTGTCGGGTCCGTATCAACCCCGAGTCCATAATGACTCCGAGCCCATATAGCTCAATACATAAATCATGCAAGCACACAAACATAATTAGATGATAACATATAGTCCTAATCATACGATACAATGGATCAGACTTTGTCACACTCCCGAACCGAACGACGGAAACGTCCGAGGGCTCTTGTGACTTAAATTGAATACCATCACAATGAATATACATGAATCATAACACAAATCATCACCATGCATTGGAATACTACAACTGATATTGTTTACATTCAGTACATTTTTTAAACATTACAATTCCATAACATAGACTATCTGATTGATAATTTAAGCAAAACACCATGACATTTCCTGATACTTATTCTTCGGCTTACCTGCTACCTGAGAATACAAGTTATTTTGGAAAAACGTCAACATATGAAATGTTGGTGAGTTCATAAGTAATGTTATGGAAAAATGATTTTTGTGAAGTTTGAAAAACCCAGAAAATTCGATATTTTCTTAAATGAGTATTTGTTTATAAAAAGTGTGAAGATCTGTAAATATGCTTGTCAATTTTGAAAACATGTATAATTGTTGAACTTTGTATATCTCACGTAGGTGAAAATGTTGAACTTTCCGGGAAACCCTGATGTTTTCCCAATACGCAAATTACATGACTTGTTTATTGTTATACCGATACGACGAAGGTTCTTGATTACCCAGGTGACATTGGATTAACTAGGGTTTGTGAGTTGTTACAATCACACATTAATGAAAATGACTAGTTTATAACTACAGGTTACGAACGATCCTTAAGGCGTCGTCCGTACTACTCACATAATCCAACCATCCTGACTTCTCTTGATTAACGCCACGAATCTGTTTACTTGAATTCTCATAAGCCGGTCAACCGAGGAGAAAAGAGGGTATGAAGCCCCCTTTATTTCCATAAGTTAATCAAGGCTATCGGGAATGCAAAAGGCACTTGGCCCAACTCGCATCTGACTTCTCGACCTCACTAGCAGTACTAATGGACCATTAGAGCCCAATAGCACAATAGAGCTATTGAAAGTCCTTTTACATGGAATTGGGTCATAGGAGGCCCATTAACATGTAAGCGCGTTCCCTTCAGGCCTAAAGATCAGGTTATTGGTCTAGCAAGGCCCAACAAGCATGATTTGAAACTTTCAAGCCTAAAGTTTGAATGTTGACTCATCATAGTTATCGCGTGTTTATTGAAATACTTTGGTTTATTGATTTTTGTTTTGTTATTGATTCGAGACCGAATCAATTCGTTTTGTAACGATATTTGTTGTTGAGAGTGTATTTGTTTTTCTATTTTTTCGGTAGTCGTGGATCATGTATTTTGTCTTAGTGAATTAATTTGTCTAAAAGTAACATTTTTACCTTTTCATAACCTTTCTTGTATAGAAATAGCACTTTTAGTCCTTTATATAAAAGAATTTCATTTTAGTCCTTAAAACATTATTTTGACACTTTTGTATCATAAACTTGTTGAAAAGACATTTTTAACCCCAAATTTATTTTGTAAACAACTTTAGCCCTTCCAGAATGATGTTTTCTTGGTTAAAACCCCCATTTTCGCAACCTTTACAGTTTTGGCCCAAAATAGAAAATTTTTACATTTTTTTTTATCCTTTTTGAGTTTTAAAAGAATTTTTGACCTTTGAAATAGTTTTAATACACTTCAAATCCCCTATTTTACAGAAAATTGCATTTTCAGCCCCTCAAACTTAGAAATCTCGGATTTTGAGGCTTATTGGGCCGAAAAGCCCAAATCTAGCCCATTTGGTTCAAAATTTACACTTTAAGTCCCTAAAAAATGTTGTTGTTCAGAAAAATTATTATAGAAACTGTTTGGAACCTTTTAACCTTCCAGAAACTATAAATTTGTCGGTTTGTACCCTAGGTTTTGTATTTTTGACATTTTAAGCCCTGAAATGTGTTTTATGTTAGGATATGTTCACCCTAACCTCATAAACTATTTTTGTTGACTTGATTAGTGTATAATAACTTAAGATATGTTTATTTCCTTTCTCATGCCTTAGATCTCGGTTTTTACACACTTTTTGATAACATATTCATCACAAAACACATGATATCACACACATACATGCATGAAATCACACATAGCATACATTTACACATAGATCTACACATTTACTTGTATTCTCCCCCATAAAACTCATAAAAACCAAAAAGTAATGGGTATGAAACTCACCTTGGGTGTGGTTTCGGTTTTGGAAGGAAAGATGAAGAAGAACTTGATCCTAGCAACCTTTCTTGGAGGATCACGAACTTGGATGCTTCTAAGGTGCAAGATCATGAGTTTGAATGAACTAAAATATGATTCTTGAATGAAAGGAAATAGCTAGATTATGGATCTAAAATCAACTTACCTTACATTATGTGTTTATGGGTTAAATCTCCTTGAAAGCCTCCTTAATCTCAAAAATATAGAGAGGAGTGGAGAGAGTTTTCTTGAGAGAATTGTGAGTGAAGTGTGTGTGTGTGTGTGTGTGTGCTTGTTTGGATTCGACCGAGAGGGAGATAGGGAGAAGAAGAGAGAGTGAGCTTGCATGGAAAGATGAGAAGTGCATGGATGATTGAAGTGTAATGCCTAGTTATCCCCCATACACCTCTTCCCTTTCTCTTGGGCTTGGGCTGAGATTTGGAGAGAAAAAGGAAGGAATTGGGCCCTTAAATGCCTAAGTCCAAATGATAGCTAATTTAGATAACTATTGGCCCAAAATAAATCAAGTAATGGTTTTTATGGCCCATTAGGGCTAATTAGGTTAATTATGGCCCAATGAGGTTCATTTAAATATTTTGTTTCATTCTAGGCCCAATATGACCCAAAATATTACAATAAATGAAAGTGGGTCCAATTAGAGCCTATTCAAGAACTCTAAGCCCATGATATTCCAATTGGAAGCTTATTGGTCCATTGGGCCCAATAAGGAAGTCCTAGTCCAAAATGGACTTAAACAAGGACTTCTAGGGTTTCCAATTATTTGTTGACTATTTGTAGTGCTTGTATGAAGTGTTTGATTGAAATTCTGTTGTCATAGAGTAAGTATCATGCATGCTTTCATGTTTTTGATTCATAATTCACATAAGTGTTGTAGTTACAAGGCAACAAAAATTTCTAGTTGTGACAGACTTGGTGCCTTCGACCTACTCAAGGTGGTAGGAAGACTCACCTCACAAACAGATGAAAAGCTGAACTAAGCTGCTGCTCCAAAATCCTCACTACCGGTCACTTTTACAAACAACAGTAACCAAAACTAAGACTACCATTCAAATACATAAAATACCACTCGGTCAAACCCTAGTAAAAATCCAGGTCAAAGTCAAAAGTGTCAATCGGGTTAACTCAGTCAATACGTGAGGCGTACTCCTCTTGTATGTGGGGTGTACCTTATAGTTGACCGAGGATCGGGGCGTTGACCTTGTATGCTTAGCGCACCCTTCGGTACACCATACGTACGACGCTGCTTGCCAACCTCCTAATTACGTGCTTAATCCCTTAAGCTCTAGGTCACATAATGTCACGCCCCAAAACCGAAACGGTGGGAACGTTCGGGGGCGGAGGACATCATGTTTTGTATCACAAAACATGTATCATAGTAATAATAGTAACAAACAACCATTGTATTAATATTTAATTGTTTACAAAGTA